CCGGCCTCTCTCTCTCTCTCCCAATAGATGCCTTGCACTTTCTTATCTTTCCACTTTACTAGACAATTTTTCTTACCAGAATCTAAGGTACACTTGTGTAAGTCTACCATTTGTCCATGAATTGGATATTGCTGCCACATCTAGTCTGGCACTTCTGCTATAGATATAGAAATCTAAGAATCTGCAATGTTATTGGTCCTGACATTGCACCTTGGCTCCAGTCACTTTCCTACTACTGTAACATAGCTTTCTTTTACTTCTACTATAAATACTTTCATGATAACTATTCTAATGAGCTTTCCTCTTTTGTACCTTGACTTCATGAATTGAAGCACAGAACTAGATTGACATTTAGGTCTCATAATTTCACTGTGGAAATTGTTAGATGTAATTGTAGTCCTGAGTTTGATGATAGACTACCTCCCTGGCCTGTGGTGCTTTTATTGCCTTGCTTGGGGTGAAATGATTTAAAAAAAAGAAGAAAAGATGAATATTACTCTACAAATATTGTTTTCCAGTCTATACTATGTGAACCTCTATCAGTATTAGCAAACTGGATTTATATACATTCATAAGAAAAAAAAAAGTTTCTGCATTTTATAACACATAACATAGATACTTTCATGAGATTGCTAAAGAAAGAGCATAGTATGATGAAAAAGACGCCAAACTTGACAAAAACAAAATTTTATTGTCTAACTGTTTGTTATTACTAAGAGGAAAGACTGAAGTATTTTTTAATTGTTTTTTAAAATTTTTCCTTTTTAGAACATTCTAAATATTGATTAAAAAAAAAAAAAAAAAACTTTTTTCTCTTAGTATCACTAGAACAAGTAAAATAACATAAATTTTTAGCACTTTTTTTTTTTTTTTTTTTTTTTTGTATGACGGACATTAATTTAGAAAAAACTAACTTTTTGAAAACTCTAGAAATTCAATGGCATTTAGTTAAAAGCACAAGGCTTTGAGGAAAGCAAATCATGTATTTTTTTTTTTTTAATTGGACCCCCTTACCTGAAAATCAGCTCTGAATACAAAACTCAATAAAACAAAGATATTATTTCATTTCAAATGCTTTTATTTGCTTTTGTTTTTATGAATATGGACAATATTTTCTGAAAGCAAAAAATTTTTTTCAATGAAAAATGAATTTTTAATATAATTATGTTATTTCTTTAATTATTTTAGATTTTTACATTTAAGTTGTTAAAATATTATAAAATTAGTTGAAAGCCTCTTTCAGTTTCGTAAATGTCCTTATGAGGTAGATCATTTTTACCACATTGTAAATTGTATCACTTTGACCAATCAGAAGACCTGCAGTAATTAAGAAATGTAATTTTGTGTTCATAATACGGTCATAATTATAACGTATGGAAGACCAGCAAGAATATAATTAAGTTGTGTTATTTGAGTTAAGCATTATTCTCACCTGTTAAGGCCTTTATTTTTGCAAAAGTGTGGAGAAGTTAATTTGATTTTTCAATTTCAACTGAAAAGGGTACTTATAAGTATTAGTATCATCTTATGAAATTTATATGATCTTATTTTTATATTAATCTCAGTTATGACATTTTTCCATAAATGAAATATCAAAATTAATAATAAAATGAATGGAAATACAAATAACACAGTAAAATGTAATAAATGTACATAAAAAAATTATAGTATTTTATATACACTTCTGATTAAATTTCATAAGAAAGGTACCTATAAATTAATTAGATACCTTTCTTATGAAATTTAATCTCACTCTCAACAGTCTTATTTTAATCTTACTTATTATAAAATGCAGATTGTGTGTGTGTGTGTGTGTGTGTGTCTGTTCATTTATATATGGGATTGTATTTCCTACATTTTTCAACCAAACTTCACAGGACTACGTAAAATTACCCGGCGGTGGTTCTGACAGCGCCAAAAATTGTAAAAACAATTGTTTTTGCACGAAATCAATTTGAAAGCACGGATAAGTGTATCGCACCAGGCCGGAAGTTACTGCCGGCTGCTCAAACGTCTGAAAGCGTCACTGCGGAAAACGGAACGAATGCCGGTGACACGGCGCTTTTTTTTTTTTTTTTTTTTTTTAGAATGATACACAAAAAGTAAACAAATGAAACCTAAAACATACACAAGTCCTCCTAACTAAAAATAATAACCGGAAACTACTTTAAATACACATGGTGTCCAAATGAAACCGATGTATACAGTCAAAATGCAGAAGTTATATTTTTAGTCATCAACCAAAAGATATTGCCAACCAACTACAATGCTAATGGCACTTCTGACTTGCTTGGGGTGAAATGCTTAAAAAACAAACAAAAACATTGAATATAAAATAATTAGGGTACTGAAAATAGCATCTACCACAATCAAAGGTAAAGCTCTCCCTACCAACAGCTAAAATAATAAAAAAGTGCTCAATACAATAAAACTAAAAGGCAAGATGTGTGTGTGTGTGTGTGTGTAACGAATGCATGCCCGCAATTTTTGACAGATTTTCACCAAAATTTATATGCACATGCTCCACGTTAGTGGAAAGCCAAGACTTTAAATATATATATATATATATATATATATATATATATATATATATATTTTATACTATTAAATAAATAACAACATAGATTGCATTTCTGTGATTTTTATTACTGGTTGCATAGTTAGTTTTATCCATAAAATTTTCCCCTACCTTTCCTTACTGCAATATTCTCAAAAAAAATCTAAAGTAGGATCTGTAATGTAATCGGTACTGAATTAGCTTCTTGACTTCAGCTGCTTTCTCACAGACGTGATGTGGCTTCCCTCTGTCTTTTCTACAAATATTTTCATGGCTACTGCACTGATGAGCATTTTTTCCCTGGTGCCCTGACTACATGAATTTAAGTGTACTACTAGATTGGCATCTAGGTCCCAACTTTTTACTGTTGAAATAGTTAAATATAACCGCCCTTCTAACAGTTTCTTTCCTTGCACTTCTCCATATTGGAACTCCTTTCCTCTCACTTGCTTCCCTGATAACTACAATCATCAAAAACCTAAATGCAGCCTCAGTCACCATGATTTGTTGCGTTGATACCTGTTCTTTCTTCCATAATTACATAAACATTTAGACGATAAAATTTTGTTTTTGTCAAGTTTGGCATCTTTTTCATCATGCTATGCTATTTTTTAGTGATCTCATGGAGGTACCTAACATAACACCATGTATAAATGGTAATATCTATTTCCTGACTCTGCATTCATTGAATGGATAACCTTATTGTCAGTTGAAAGTTATAGGTTTCTCAAGTCCAGTAGCTGTTATTGCTCCTCCTAGTATTGATAAGGATTTCTTTCCTAACCTTTTGTTTAAGGTAGTGTGGAGAGTCGACATCATGGTAATGTCCTTATTTTCTCTCAGAGCTGTCTGTTATTCATTTTAGTGGGGAGTGTTCAAATGATGTGGTTTCTGTTATTTGGTAAAGATTTTTTATTTATGATTCTGTGGCACCAGTCTAAGATCTGATAAAGGATAGTCTTTAAAACATTTGTTCAATATTTTGCATTAATATAATTTCTACAAGATTGCTCTAAGATTTTTTCTTTTATTTGTTTTTTAGCACAAAACAAAGAATCTAGGCAAGCTGTTATGTATTAACCTTTTGATACATTGTATGACCACTTTCAAAATCTAGAAATTATAGAAGCCCCTCTCCAACATGGTTATTTGGTAATGGCTACAGAATCCCGATGGTACAATACAGGCTAGCTACTAGCATCAGTTTACAATTAATGTGTGGGCTGGAATTGTAGGTGACTGTCTGGTAGGTCTGTATGTTCTCCCAGCACATCTTACAGGAGCTGTCTACAGGGACTTTATTTCTAACATACTTCCAAACCTGCTAGATGTACCCTTGCTAATGCAAAAACACATGTGGTTCATGCATGATGGGCTCCAACACATTTTAGTCACATTGTTCGCAATGTTCTGGCTGACATCTACCATGAAAGATGGATAGGTAATAGAGGACCAGTTCCATGCTCTGCTCATTCCCCAATCTCAATCCTTTGGGTTTTCATCCGTGGGGCCAGCTAAAACAATTGGTATATGCAGCAGACATTAATAATGCAGAGATGCTTCATCAATGTGTCATGGGGGCTTGCGAAACCATTCAACACTATATGGGAGAATTTGAAAAGGTTTGCCGGTCAATGATCTGACAGGTGCATGTTTATGAAGAAGCAAGCAGAGGATATTTTGAACATTTGTTATGAGTTTCTGTGTTGAGGTACAATGATGGTCTTTTGGTCATGTGTTTATATGGACATTTTACCTTGTTTCAGTGTCAAGAATTCAACCCCAAACTTAACTCAAAAACAAAGGATTTGTGGGCATATGTTTATATGGACTTTTGTTCTTGGTTTGGTGGGAGGAACCTGCCCCCAAAGTTTGTACAAGTATTTTTGATACACTATATATATATATATATATATATATATATATAAATAAAATGAGAGAGATTCTGGAGCAATATAATTTAAAAAATCCTATTGAGTAAAACTTAACACCTACTTGGTGAATTTTCGAAAATGCTTTTAATTTTCAGCCCTTGATATTTACTAAACTTAGTTTAATACTGGAATTAATGGGAGGAACACTGTTATCTATTGTCTATCTGAAGGATTTGCCTGCCTTGAATATTAATATTTGAAATCTTGGCTTTTATCTGGGTTTGGTGTCAAGTTTCTTTATTTCATTATCCTCCAAAAGTTTGTATATATTTTGAACTTCATCAAATTTTAAAAAAAAACAATTAGATTAATTTCTCTTTTCAACAATGATTATAAAGATGGAATAAATGTCTTTGTGGGGAGAGCTAAATGTTTATTAAAGCAAATTGCTTTATAAAACATTTTATTTTAGCAAAGTTTTACTTGCAGTGAAACATACCTTGAATTTTTATCCAGTATATATTTTCTCTAAATATAATCAATATTGTTTTGTTTTTTTCTCCTTTAAGGTGGTGCTTGTCAGAAAATTACAGAAATTTGAGGACATAAAAAATAAGCATCAAATGCCAGCCAATGCCAAATACAAAATGATATTTGAAGATGCTGATGTGGAGGCTAAATTCAACAATTTAATTGCACACCACTGTCCATTTTGTAATGAAGGTGGACAAGAAGGATTTTATAAATTTACTCTACTTAGGGCTCATATTAGGAATGAGCATAAATTATTCTATTGTGAGTTATGTGCAAAAAATCTGAAGGTAAGATGCTTATTATTATTACTATTAATAACTTTGTTTTTTTTTTGTTGTTTTGTTTTTTGTTTTTTTTCCCTATGCATATCCAAAATGAATTTTTAAAGGATTTGATTTTTTTCCCTCTCTACTGAAAAAAAAAAAAAAAAAAAAAAATTGATTAGATACAGGAATTAATTAGAATTTATCTATTCTGGTTCTATATTTAGTCTATATATTTCTCATTTGTAACTGTTATATCAATTATGGACATTAAATCAACCTCCAGATGAATGCCCTTTCCTCCCATGTTGTACTTTACAAAAGAATTAATAAAAAATATATGCTAACTATAATAAATTTTTTTCTCTTTACTTGAAAAAGAAAAAATAATTTAAAGGAAGCAATTAATAATTCTGTAAATTTATAATTGGAATCATGCAAATTGAAATTGGTTTGCATTATAAGATCAGCTTTGGTTTTTTTTTTTTTTTTTTTTTTTGCACCATAAGATCTTGTCATTCGATTTAAACAATGGGTTTTCTCAATTTTCTCTTCATGCTTATCAATATGAAATCTTAAGTTATGTTTCCATTAATTTTGCCAAAAATATTTACTTTTTAAAAAAAGAGTAATCAAATAAGTGCTTACAACACCTGAGTTAATAAGCATTGTGAATAAGAGATGATGTTTCTGTTGACAACTGATTTGAATTCAGCTTTTGAAGATATATTATGTGTAGGATGAATTTAAAATTGTAAAATATATTCTTTTGTGATAACTTTAGGTGCAAGTGGTTTTATTCTGGATAGTCTTAGATTGTTGCAATTCAGAAAAAAAGCTTGTCTATTTTTGTATTTGTTTTTCCAAACAAAATGCCGCCTTCAATTTTTTTTTCTTAAGAAAGTAGTTTTGTTTTTTTTTAAATATAAAGATTTATACAAAATTTTAGAGTATCTTGTAAATAAGTAAATACACTAAAATGTTTAAATGGAAACAATTGTTCCTGATTTATGGATGTTTATTTCAACAGACCTTGGGCTTTTTTTTTTTTTTTTTTTTTTTCATGATTAACTTGGCAAGATCATATTTGTCACCTTTTACTTATTCTGTCCTGCTATTAAAATTGTGACAATGATTCCCTGTTTGATTGGCTAGAACACAAATGAGCCCTAAATGATTTTATCTGGGCCTGAAGTTTCTTACTGCTAAGAGTAAAGTTTAGATATGAGTACTTCAAATCAACCATCTGCTTTTCATAACTAGGCAAAAAGGGAATGAAGTAAATAAATGAATGAAAATTTTGGGGATCAAGTGCCACTTGGCTGGAAGGTAGGAAATTATGTCAGTCACGGTTAGAGTAAGTTGGACAGAAGCTAGCTGTTAGGAGTTACAAGTTGCCCATTGCTGGGTGACATGCCATTGGTGGAGATGTAAAGTCACGAAAAGTCAGTGATAGGAGAGAGATGTAGAGTCAGAGGGAGTTTTTGAAAGCTGAAGGAAAGATCTGATTCATTAGTCTGTTATGAGAGAAGATGAGTAGCCACAAAGATATCCCAAGTGTCACATTACAATTTGAATCTGTGAATAAGAAATCAACACATTGAATACTGGATTTTTCTTTTCTCACTGGCATTATTTTGCCTTCTATTCTCTTGTAAACACACACTAGGCCTGTCTCAGTTTTTGTTCATTCCAATGTAAATGAGAATCCAAGCACATTTTGGGAGAAAGAAGCTGTCTAGTTAGTGAAATGCTAGAATTTTAAAGAAGCAAATTTTTTTAATGTACACAAAATGTTGCCTTTGTTGAACGGTTGTGTGTTTATTTTATTTTCTGTTATAGTCATTGTTGATAGATTTTATTTTTTGTTTGTTTGTAAATTTAATGATTTAATAAATAGGTAATTATAGGTTTAAGTTAATGTGTAAAGAACTCTTGACTATATTGTTATTTGTAATGAGATCTGATCGGTACAATAATGATTAATTAAATTTGCTGCAAATGGCTGAATTTTTTTTCTCTCTTTCTACATTATAAGCTATTTTTTTTTTCTTCCCGTTTTGGAATTAGATTTTCTCTTTTGAACGAAAACTGTACAGTCAATTTGAACTTGGACGACATCGCAATGAAGGCGACCCTGATGATACATCATATCGCGGACATCCAATGTGTAAGTTTTGTCGGCAACGCTATATGGACACAGATGAACTGTACAAACATCTTCGTAAGGACCATCTTTTTTGCCACTTCTGTGATGCTGATGGCTATGCTGATCAATATTATGAGTAAGTCTTTGACTTCTGTTTTACCTCTGATGGCTAATATTAAGCAAACTGCAATTTCTTGTATCTTTTGATTTAAGGTGTGTGTGTGTGTATGCATAAATTAATTTTGGAAGTTTGTGGTTGTATATATTGGTTAAATGTGGTCAATCAGTGAGCAGTAGCAGGTCAATAGTCAGTTGGTCAGATAAAATGGGATTGAAGAAACTTTCTTTGTTCAACCACTCGTTTTCTCTGATATTTCAACTGAAGCAAAATTTCTATAATAACAAAAAAAAGTTAGAAAGAGTCCTGTTGTATTGTTGATGTCATCACTTTGGTGATTCATTTTCAATACTGACAGTAAAATGACCATTAATTTTTAAGTTCTAATGATTTTTATTTCTTTATTTGCATATTACTTAATATCAGACTTGATAAATTGTATATTGATTTTTTTACTATTTTAAAATTAGTTTAGATCAAACCCATTTCAGACATTGTATGCTGTATGAATTCAAAAAGGGTTCTTTGTCTTTAATTGTAGTAATTTAAGGCACTGTCAATTCTAGCAGAAGCTATATTTATCTCAGTGGTAGGCTTGATAGCTAATTAAATTTTGCAATTGTCTTTGATTGCTAATAAAGCTCTTTTTTCCCTAATCTTGTTCAGTAAATAACTACTGGGACTGACCCAAGTTCTTTAATTATTCACTATTTGTGTTTACATAAATTTACAATGAAAAATTTGCAATATACAGGATGCGATGGGTAAATCGTCGCCATTTTAATTTCACTCGTGTATTTGTTTTTGATGATTGCACAGGATAGTAAGTTCATTTGGGCACCATCTGTGAGAAAAAGAGCACCATGTCACAATTCACTCTGCCAGAATTTTGGAAACGGCATTATGTACTGCTTGGCATTAGTGCTGGAAGCTCCAACATTTCAGAGGACAGTGCAGAGGATTCAGAATGAGTTTGATGAGTCTAATGGTGATTACGAAGTTATGGCAACTCAGAAAACTCACTCTGATCATTCTGATAAGGAAAGAACTCCTGAATTTGTTGGTGAGGGCCTCAGACTTAATATGGAGGCCTACATAAAGTGTCTTGAGAAGGGAGTGCTGCTCTAGGTCAAGATAATGGCTACAGGAAGACCCTATGTTTACCAACAGGACTCTGAATTGTGCCACGCAAGCAGGAGAGCCAGTCATGGGTGTCATACAATTTCTGTGGCCACATCACCTGTTACATCTGGCCACCTAACTCCTCAGACTTGCAACCCTCTTGATTATTATGTGTGGGGTGCAGTTGAGCAGGAGACCAACAAAACTCTTTATAACACCAAAGATAAACTGAAGGCAAGGATTATGGCAGCATTCACCAACTTAAACAAGGAAATAGTCCAGTTACATGTCGTCTGGAGGCCGTGGTTGAAGCTAATTGCAATTTTATTGAATGAATTTACTCTTTAGCATTTCAAGATATTTTTGTGTAATTTAGACGACAATTTATTCATCGCACCACATACATACACATATATATATATATATATATATATATATATATATATATATTAGTACCAAACCCAAGAAGAGAGTTATAGTGTAAGATGCACAGTTTATGTGCACATTGAATGTGCTTTCAATATATTTAAGTTTTTTGTTGAGGCTACATATTCTAAATACTTTCAGTTAAAAACCTTTTATACTGGTTTTAGTTTTATGATGATGTGAGTAAAATTCATGTAGTTCTTATTCGTTGATTTTTATTTTATTTTTCCTCAGTATACTTTGAAATCTAATTTATTATTGGATCTAATTATTGAAATATCTAAGAAGGTAGTGAGTTATTTTCTATTTTAAAAGTAAATTTATGAGTTGGTTCAATGTTTTAATCTGGCTGACCCTATATTCTGTATTTTTTATATTGGTAGTTTTGGGATAAATGATTATGCCATCATCATATTTCTGAAATATCTTTTTTTTTTTTTTTTTTTTTCTAGAAGGATATATTGAAACAGGCGTGGTTGCTAGATCTTAGCCAGAGATCATCTATAGGTAACAATGGTTCAGGGTACCCTAATTCTGTCCCCTAGTTGAGATTACATTGTCTGATTTACTTTTAGGGCAGGCCTAAGACACACACGTACGTATGTGTGTGTGCATGCATAATAAATTCTACCCATCTTATTTCTTGTAACAGAAACATCTAGTCTAATTTTTTTTTAAAAAAAAACAAAGTGCATTGTATTTATTCTCAACTTTTTGTTTTATATTCATATTTTAGTAACTATGCGGTGCTGAAGGAACATTTCAGAAAGAAACATTTCCTTTGTGAAGAACCTGAATGCGCTCAAGCCCAGTTCACTCATGCTTTTCGGACAGAAATTGACCTGAAGAAGCACATAGCCCAGGAACACGGCCAGACTCTTACCAAGGCCCAAGCCAGACAGGCGCGAACTATTGAGTTAGAGTTTCCACTTGCACCTCGTGTCAGAGCTAGAGGTTATATTCCTTTTCTATTTTTATGTAAAAAAATAAATTTCTTTTTACAAATATTTAGAAATTTAATACAGGTTAAGCTTAATATTGCTATATTTCAACACATATAAAAATCCATTTTCTTAAATTAGAAAAAAAACTTGTCAATTGTTGTAAAGTTTTGTTTTACTCATGAAAATGTAAATAAAAGAACTGAAAATTGTAGTTTAGTAGCTTTGGCTGAATAATGTCTTATTATTTGCAATTTAAATAAACTGGGTAAGTTTTGTTAAAATTCTTCAGTAAGTCTTGAATGCTTTTTAATTGTACAATTGTTTGGTGGGTTTTAATGAGAAAAACAAATTTGTGGATTAAGATAATAATAAAATGATTGCTTTGCCATATCTTAATCTGCAACCTAGACATTGTAGCAAAAATTGTTTTTTGCTAACAGTTAAAGTTAAAATATATTGGTTAAAAGAATGTTGCTCTATCTATATATATATACATATACACACACATTTAAACAGGTTTGGTTAAATAATTTAAACTTATCAATTAGTTTTTGTCATGATCCTTTCAAGTTCAGATTAATTTTTTAGTAAATTTAGAAAATTGAGTAAGAAAAATACCAAAATTTTCATTAGAATTTCTGTCTAAATTATTTAACCAAACCTGTTTGAATTAAAATATGCTGCTTAAATATCCACAATAACTAATATATATATATGAAAGAGACTGTTGACATCCATATCAACTTTTATATTTACATAAGCTCTATCCTTGATACCGAGAACTTTAACTTTAAATATAACATACCTTAAAACTATATCTTTTATCTCACTCGCACGCACACACTTCACATTTTTATTTTGTTCTAACTCTACCCCCTCTTTCCCAAAAAACACAATTAGCAAGAAGCCTTTTCTGACATTCAAACTATAGGACTAACAAATTTAATTTAACCCTTTAGCATTCAACTTGCCCCATAAAAATCGACTCTCAATGTTCAACCTGCCCCATGTATAGTCTGCCATAATATATGACGATGACAGCGACATTGCAAATAAAGCAGGAAGTCACACAAACAGTTAGACTTTGACCGCAAATAGTGGGACTTTGAGAGCCAATATTTATGGAGTGGGTTTGAGCATGTTGAATGCTGAAAGGTTTAATAAAAAATTAACTATGGTATTTTTTCTTGAAATTAAAAACATGACCAAAGATTTAGTATTTGATTCTACTTTCAAATATCACTTAATAGGAGAAAAATTCCAATTTATTTTGTGAATAAAAAAAATAATTTACTAATGAAAGTATTTTCTTAAAATTTTATAGTATTCATATTAATTCTAAGACATGAAATATTTTTAAAGATGCAAGCAATTTAAAACTGGAAATTCTTCTGCAATAAGTTTGGACAAACTTTCATTTTTAGATTTTGAAATGGGTTATGTTTTAATACCTAGTTTGACTTTTCTTTTCTTTCTCTTTCTTATTGAAGACAAAACATTAAGAATCCATAAAATATTGTTGAATCTTAGCACCAATCTTTTGATAGGGTAAACTTAATTGTAAAAAAACCGTTAATATACAATGAGATTAATATCACATTTTAAGATTTTGCATCGTTGTCTTGTTGAAAGCTGAATTTTTTTTTACAGTTGTGTGTAAACTGGATGGTATAGCATCTTGCAAAATTGAATAATATAGTTCTTTTTACATGATTGCCATGACCTGAATCAAATCTGTCCCTCTCTCCCTAAAATACTCCCACACTATAACTGATCCACCACCATGCTTAATTGGTGGAACCACACATTCATCATTCTGGATTTCTTCTCACATACATTCTACTCTTACTACCAAAGAATTCAGACTAATCTGTCCAAGATACATATTGCCATTCTTTCAATGTCCAGTTATGCTTTTTTGCCCATAAGTCTTTTCAGCTTATGTTCTATAACATGAGTTTATTGATGGTTATGCACTCACTGGACCCAAGTTGATTTGTCACTTGGTGCTCCAGATCTTCTTTTTTTTTTTTTTTCTGTCAACATTTGTGCCTGTCTTTTGTAACAAATATTGCACACCCATATCTAGAAATCTTCAACTTCTTGGCACTTTGTCTTTGAGAGTAGTCACAATGCTTAGCTGTTTTGATTTTGCCATTTTATGCAGATTACTCTAAAATGTTTTATGTTATATATATATATACATACACACACACTGTTGTAATGGCTCAATCTTTTTTTTCTTTCAAAGATTGCTACATATATTCTGTTTAAAATATTAGTCATTGCTGAGTTTACATTTAGAACCTGTAATACATTTTTCATACAAAATATCATAATTTAGCAAAATGTATCATTTGAACTCTTTGGTAGTGAGAAGAGCCTGAAGAAAAACTGAAAAAAAAAAATTTAAAAAAAAAAAAAAACATACACTAGTTACAGAAATTTAATCTTAAAAAAGAACAAAAACTCATTTTAAAGTTTGTTTTTTTTTTATGTGGCCCCAAACTTTTTTTCTGTTGTTGTGTGTGTGTGACATATATATATATATATATATATATATATATATATATATATATATATACACACACACTCACTAAGTACCTCCACTTTTTCTCTGAAAAAATACCATAGCATGATGAAAAAAAGACCCCAAACTTAAAATCAAAGTTTTATCATCAAAAAATTTATTATTAAGAGGAAAGACCAAAGTATTTTTTTATTTCATTACATTTTTGAATCCTTTTAACCAGAAATAGTAAATTTAATCATTCAGCTTTCAATTAAAGCTAAAAAGAAAGCTTCAAGAATGCTTTATCATTTTTAAAAATTCATTTTAAACCTTAGGTATAGAAAATTAGTGGGGGGAACGTAATATACACACACGCATACGAGAGGTACTGAAAATTTATAGTCAGAACTTTTTACCACTTAACTGAGAGATAAATGAATACATTTAGAATAAAGTTAATGCTCTAAAATAGAATAATTTCTATTTAAATGTAAAAAAAAAAAATGTCTAATATCTTGTTCATTACTTAAAGACAGACATAGCTTAAATATGGGACAGTAAAAATAGAATTATTTTATCAATTTTTATTTTTTCTCCTATAGATGTGTCTGGTGGCCAAATGATGTACAGGAATGAAACCAGCAGAGGAAGAATGTCTAAAAATCAAAGAGGTAGATTGTATTTTGGAGAAAGGTAAAGCTTGTTTTCTTTTTCTTTTGATGTAAATTCATATAAAAGATTTGCTTTAAAATACAATATCATATGTGAACATTTACTTATATATCATTTCTAACGGTTTGTGTTAGGAATTAATTCTGGAATTTAAAAAAAAGAAAAGAAAATCTATCTTTTCATTCAAGTTGTAACTGAAAAGTTTTGACATTGAATTAAAAAAAAAAATTGTAAAAATCTAATTTTTCTCCTAATACATGAAACTGCATTTACTGTACATACAAAACTTTATATCTTAATGAAATTTGAGGATAATTGTGTTATGAAAATGTCTTTGATGTTTGTTTCATTTGCGGATATGAAAGAAATTGTAATATACTTAGATAAATGGTGGATGTTGGTTAGAAAATACCCATGAAAAACATTTAAACACCGATAAGCAAGAATATTTGCATACATGGCTATAACATTAGAATATACTTCAATTTACTTCATATGTATACTTTGGAAGAAAATTTGTTCTTGAATGATCTTAAAAAAAAAAATAGTTTAGAAAAATTCTAATTCATGAAGCCAAAAGATATTGGCTTCCCAAACTTTAAATGCAATATTAGATCTTCATTTGTTTATTCATTTTACGTCTTTTTTTTTTTTTTTTTTTTTTTTTAATATTTTTTTATAAACCTCTATATTCTACTCATTTACCAAATTCTCTTGTTATAAATATTGAGTTGGCCAAAAAGTTTGTTCAGTTGAAGTAAATTTTCTTAGTAAGAAAAGAAAACTTTTTGCCCAGCCCAATATTTGAGCCTTAAAACTCTTGTACCTTTTTATCTATGTGCATAAAAATAGCTTAATATTTTTTATTTAATGAAGGAAGAAAAGGAAAATCAAAAAGTTTCTGGATACTGGAAAATACTCCAGAAGAGATTTTATCATGGTATCGTTTCATTAACGTACATTCACATTCATGAACATTTTGATTAATCCAATAAAAGTAAAAACAATTTCAGATCAACACATTTGCATATAGCATGTGCTAACATATAACATTTGCTATCTTTTATATTTGCTTATAAATAGCAGACTTGATCAGTTGAATGATTTAGTTTGTCATTAAGTTGTAGTAATTTCTATCTTATTTACATATTTTATAGAATATATGATACACCTGTTCACAAATCTGACCATCAAATCACCTGCAGACGGTCAGGATGTATGAATCATCCTAGTTTATTGATCCAAATAACTTTCAAATATAGCATATTAATATTCTAAAACAATGGAGTCAAAAGTACCGCTGCATTACTGGTTATAGATTATGATTCATTGTGCATACAAAACAGTATTATAATGAAGCAGGTGTAGACATTTTGGCTGCACCCCCAACAAAGATGGATGTGGCAGAAGCAGTAGGATCAAGTTTGGCAAGCTGAAAAAAGGAAGCATAAGATTTGGAAAGCAACTACTAAGGTGCACAAATAAACTAAAAATGGATAACAAACATGTTCCAGGGTGAGATATATCTCCTCTGGTATGATTCAGAGCAGGCTTTAGGACATTTTCCTCAATTTTATTTATGGATTTTTTTTTTTTTTTTTTTTTTTTTTTTTTTTTACTTCATACTAAATATATAGTACATCCAATATGCCCCCTCTCCTACCCCACCAATTACATTATTTTATAAGAATCGTTGAAAGGAAATGTTTTCAGGTATTGTATTTTATGTTGTAAAATCCTTACCTTCACTTTTATAATTTTAATTACATTTTAAATTGTTTTAAATTTTATATATTTGCTCTTTGTGTTTTCACGATTAAGATTTGATGCAGTTGCTCAGAATAAACTGGATTCTGCACAAACCTCTAATGTATTGATTGTATTCTTAGGATATTAAAGTAATTTTCAGAATTTGGTTTGTCTGTGTTCAATATAGAAAAATCTTTACTATAATAAAATGTTGTCTACAGTAACAAAATTTCATTAAATTGACTTGTATAGCATAAATCTTAAGTGGTTGAGAGGGTCTCTCACCATGGTTTTGTGAGTAGGAAATTTGTCTCTTGAACCATTACTACTGGAGCGAATTTGTTTCTCCTTGAGTGTTTGACATGTGGCCTTGTACAAGACTAAGCTATGTTTTAGTAAATACCTGACTAAGGTACTTACTAAATCTATATAAGTGACTAATAAAAAAAAAATTAAAAAAAAAAAAAAAATTAAGGTGAGCTATAAAATTGTTCCACCTTTTGTTCAAGTTAAGCGGTTTCAGCATGAGAATAATATCCTTTTTAAAGTTTTTTAAAAAAATATTTTTTCAGGGATGCTGATCTGAAAAGAGCAATCCATGCCTCGTTGGAAGATGAAAATCAACGGCAAAAGCAAATTTTGGAATCTGATGGTGCTCGGGGTGGAAGAAATGAAAAACAAGAGAAAAAAGATGAGAAAGCACCAACGTCTCCTAAACTGAATCTAACTGAAGACTTTCCCAGCCTGACACCAGGAACAAGTGAAGCAAACACTTTCCAAACACAATGGACAAATCGTTCTAACACAAATATCCTGATTAATAATGGAGACTTTCCTACACTGTCCTCTCTTAGTATCCAGCCATCAGTTCCTAATAATACTAGTTCAAGTACCAAAAAGCAAGGAACCAAAAAATCTGAAGTAAATTTGCAGAAACAGAACAAACCAATTATTTCTTTTGAGGAAGACTTTCCTGAATTGGCAGCTCCAAAGAGAAGACCAAATTCTGCCAACGTCTCCATAGTTGTTTCCAATGCTTGGAACAAGCAATCAAATCAGCAGCAGCATACACCATCCACAAAAGTTCAATCACAGAAAAAGCAGCAGCATCCACCACTGAAACAGCAGGTGCAAAAACCACAGCATCAACAATTAATTACAAATGGTAAGTTGCTATCAAAGGTGAGTGTTAGTTATAGCCAGCCACCTGATACTCCAGTTTTGCCTGCTCCCAATGTCACTACTGTGACTATTCTTGATAATAAACCTGCTGAGTCACCGGTGATAACCTTAAAAGATGTCAGCAAAATACTAGACACAGAGGAAAACTTCCCCAGCTTAACACAAAGTAAAGAGAGAAAACAAACTAGTTTGAAAGTGGCCAACTGGCCTGTGAAAAAAACAACACAAAAAGCATCAGAAGAAAATAAAAAGTCAACAACAGAGGGCTGCATTGTACTCAAAGGGAAAAAGCACAAGGAAAAAGCCAGTTTTTCATCAGGTGAGAGCAATAAACAGAATACAAAAGAAGGTTTATGCCTTGATTCCAATAAATTGTCTTTATCTGCCGAAAATTCTGCTAACGAACCGGTTTTGAATTCTCGGCTACAGCAGAGCGAAAAGCCGAGTAAGAAGAAAGAAGTTTCTGAAGTTAAAGTCGATTTGAAAAAACAGCCAAAGAATTCTGAAGTGGATAAAAACCAGAAGCACTTTTCAACCAAGATGATTTTGACAGAAGATGAATTCCCATCACTTGGTAAGCAAGATAAAGCTGTTTTACCTCCTGGTATCAAAGTTAGTCAGGTAAAGCCACCCCCAGGTTTTTCAGGTCTTATTACTAATCATAATATAAAAAATCATCGGCCACCTCCTGGTTTAACTTTGCCTAACAATCATGTGAAAAATTTACTTAACCATAATCTGCCTTCTAATTCTGTGACGGATGCGCAGCCAAATTTTCACTATTGCCCACCATCTAATTTTGAGAAACGAAATACAACTTTAATCCGTGAAATCCGTAATGCACTCTCGAATGACGAAAGTCGTTTTAAAACCTTCAAATCATTGTCCAAAGACTTCAGGCAGGGTGTCATCTCTTCTCGTGAATACTATCGTCAATGCTCAGATTTGCTGGGACCTGAGAGATTTCCAGAAATTCTTGTAGAACTTGTTTGTCTCTTACCAGATATTGACAAGCAGCAAGCTTTACTGCTGGCTTACCGCGACAGTTCTTTGCTTCAGATTAACATTACTCCCAAAAGTGCATGGAGGTCAGTTGAGAAGAGCCTTCAAAGCTGCCCCGTTTGCCAACAAGTTTTGATTAGAGCTGATTACAATGCCCACCGCTCTCTCTCGCATCCTAATTATGATTTCTCAACAGATTCATGGCCCAGTGGTAAATTTCAAGAATCCACATGGATTAAGGCAAAATAGTACTTTTTTTTTTTTTTTTTTTTTTTTTTTTAAAGTAGATCCTCAAAAGAAAGAGAGAAAAAAAAAAAAAGATCTAAATGTACTTAACTTGTCCAAGGTCAACTGTGATAAAATTTCCTCAGGATTTTTTTTTTCTTCTTCACACTCAAAACTTATTTTGCTTGAGAGATACAATTTGAAAAATCCAACCACAAAACAATTCAAGTTTTAACCTCCCCTTAACACAGTCTGTTAATGACCAATGTTTAACTACAATATTTTCATTATGTCCTATTTGGCTTGATAATATATTAAATTTGCCTGAGGGCGGGGCAGTAAATACACCTCCTACTTTGGCTTGTAGGCTCATTTTTGTTAACCATGTATTTAAAAAAAAAAAAAAAAAAAAAAGTTATGTAATGCTACAAATTATAAAAATTAAATAAAAAGCAAGAAAATATTGATTGTTTCAAATACTTTAAAAGCTGAATTCATTTAGCAAATATTTCTCACTTGTAATGTGCAGGATTGATATATTTTAAAAGTAACAAATTTAATGGATATTATTATTATTATGCACATTAGGAGTGAAAAACTACTATAGGAATTTCCTTTTCATAAACAAAGGATACTTTTTGCAGAGTTTGTTGAGGCGCAGTTGTTTCTCAGTTACCTCCCTTACCACTGCCATAATTCCCCCCTTTAACCTTTTATTGCCACTGTTTTATCATTTTACGGTTATTTTGATGAGTAAGTGATGTATGAATATTTCTAAGATGGCGGTTTGAATTTAAAATATTAATATTTAAAATGAGAATTTAGCATTTCCATAGCAAGTATTGATGAGGATTTCTCCTTGCTGTGTTAAATCTTTAAAATTAAATTTTGATAGATGTTAATGTATAAATGAATTTAAATTCATTATTCTGGAGAGAATAAAGGTGGGTAGTGAAGTAAGCAAAAAGTGTTTATTTTTAATTTAAAAAAAATTTTTTTTTTTTATATAAATCTCATGACTTTAATTCATAAATAATCTAACTAATAAAATTAGTTCATAAGGTCGAAAAAAAAAAAAAGATTGCATTTTAAATTTAATATTTGTAAATAAGTTTTGTGTTATTTGTTTATTTTGAACATTGAAAGGAGCATCTTTCATTTTGTGCATTTGGTCGTGGGGATTTAACTACTGAAGCATTTAAACAAAGATCTGGACAATGAAATGCTTTGTCAAGTTTACTTATTGACAATCGAATACTTTAATGTTTATATTTCTATTAAATGCATCTGCTTACATGTAGGTGTGCTTATAAAAAGTTATCTGCTTAAGCTAAAAAATTGTTTTAACTTTATTCAGATTTGACTTTCTGGGATATTGAAACTAAAGGCTTAAAGGTCCTTTTTTTTTTTTTTTTTTATTTGACAAAACAATTAGAGCAACGTAATCATATACTTTCTTTTTCTTTGTGTGTGTCCTAAAAGATATTTACAACACACTTCACTGTGATTTCAGATTTTATTTTTTAACTCTGCTTTAAGAACCTTATATTTAATTTTAAAAGAAATGGATTCTTAAAATAGTTGGAAGAAATTTTAGTTGATAGCAAAAAAAAAAAAATCATTTGACATAATTTATTTTGGGATGTCCTCTTGTCACTTGTTGATGTTCAACTAACTTCTGTTATGGGGAATCCACTACAGAAAATGTTCACAAAATCAACATTTTTGTTTCCTGGTGTCTTCTAGATGTTTTACTTTATTTTTATGTGCCAATTTTCATCTGAAAAGCAAACAGGCCTATTTCATGAATCATAGGCACATGATACTGATTCCTCATTTAGATTGGATCAACCATGTTAAGACATAAAATTTGTCTTTAATAACTTTTTATTTTTATCTGTAAATGTAAGTAGATATATATTTTCTTTTGTACTGTTATCAAAGAAAGTAATTTACAAAAATCAGTTTCTGCTGTGAATATATATTTTCCATTGTTTTGGTACTTTTTTTTTTCCTCTCTAGAGACATCCAAATTTTATATATATATATGCAAAATTTAATTTTGGCTGCAGCAGTAACTTGAACTGTAAGGAATCATTATTACAGTTTATAGTAATTATTTCAAGCCTTGCAATAGCCAAGCTAATATTCTCATGTTCTGCTGTTTTATAGCCATTTTGAGGTGAAACTGCTTTGTGGTTAGGACTTTCAAAAAAATTTGCTTCTCTTTTAAATTTTGCAAAAAACCACTCTCAGCATCAACCCATTTTTTTTCCTTTATTGCCTGTTATTAAACTAAGTTTCATTATTTCTTTTTAATTTGTTTTGAGTTTAAAGGGAAATTTATCTTATTTTTGATATTGTTCTAATTGAGAATGAAACATCTAGATTCTAATTTTTATTTTGCAAAATAAACTAATTTTAGTATCCTTATTTGTAAATATGATAGCTTGATTTATCTTACTGTTAGTAATGACAATTGTTTTTATTCTGTTGGAGATATATATCTGTAAAAAGATATGTATAAAGACAAAAAGAAAAACTTACCAGAGGATGAAACAGATCAGCTATTTTTCCTTTTGTCTTTATTCTCAAATATATTCAGGTTGGTAAAAGCTTCTGAAGCAAGTATACTTGGTAAGACATAGGGCCCACTTGCCTTTTTTCTTTGCTCTTTTTAGTAAACTGTTTATAATTTAGAAAAAAATTTTTCGAAGTTAATCCCAACAACATGGCATTTTATTTAATTCTTCCAATGTTTTTCTGTTTTAAATTTTTCTTCAAAAGTGGCATTATCTGATAACAATCTAAGCAGGATTTTTCACTTAAAAGCAAATTAATTTGCTCTCTAAATTGGATTACTCCAAGAAGGAAACATTTCTTTTTAAACTTTTCTAAAAATTTAATTTACTTATTTCTCAACTGAGGCAACACTGGAGTTTATTCACTGCACCTCAGATTCAATGCATGTGTTTTGGTTTAAAACTTGGTACTCATATAGAACACAGATATTAAAGTATAAAAGAATGATATAGATTTAAAATAAATAAATGTTGCTTACCTCATAACAAACATGTTAATTGAGGTTCAATTTTGAGTTCTCTTGGTCTTGGCAAATGTCTCATCTTTACAACCAATTTCCATGTCAAAATTTTTCAAAGTGTTGTTTACTCAAATTTTTTTTGTTTAAGGGTTACCTCCCTTTAATCTTAATTCCTGCAAATTAATTTTTCTTTTTATCCGGCAATGGGCGATATGTTGGAGTCATGGTTTTGATCCCATGCTTGAAACTGTCATTATTTTCCCTCCAAATAGACAATTTTGACATGCCATCTAAGTAGGTGGATTAATTCTATTCTCTTTCCTACTTGACTATGACAAAAACCATCAGTTGCATAACTTTGTTTTCTTGAAACTTTGGGGGGTTTTTTTAAAAAATAAATTTTAATTAATATTATTTTGGAAAATTTTTTTTTTTTTTTTAAAAAAAAATACATATGTTTTTAAATAAAAAATTTCTGTGGATCATTTTTTAAAAATTTAAATTTACAGAACCACGGGATTATAAACCAATGGATCATACTGGTGTGTGTGTTTATATATATATATATATATATATATATATATATATAAAAAACAACCTTTTTAAGGTTAATCGTAAAACATGGTATTAAAAATGCAAAACCCCGGGAAAAATGTGGAATTTAAAAAAAAAAAACAGGGGTCCTATTAAGTTGGGAAAATTTTAAAAAAAGGCACAACAACCCAAAAATATTTGCAATTTACATTTACAGATCATAGAACCGGGGGAATCCAAATGGTCATTTAAAAAAAAATTAAATCTTTCTTAACCAAAATATGGATTAAAAAAAAAAAAAAGCATTTAATTAATTTTCAAAATTTTTTTATTCCCACTTCTTCTTCCTTCTTCATCCTCCTCCTCCCCCTTTCTTACCCCAATGTCAAAATTTTTTTTTTTTTTTTTTTTTTTAAAAAATTAAGAATCATTTTATAAAAATTTCCTAGGATATAAAAAATTTAATCCCCGGAAATTCAATACCTCTGTTTTTAAAATTTTGTTTCCATTTGAAATAGTAAACCCGGGTTCTCAATAGGGATAATTCCCCCTGAATTTTATTTTTGGTGAATTTGAAAGAAATTTGGAGGTGGGGGGCAATTTAAATTTGCCCACAAATGTTTTAAAGGGGAATGGCAGCAAAGTGAAATAAAGGGGGCATTGAGAACCCCCAAAATTTATGCCTTATTTAAAAATTTTTTTTAACCATAAAGAAAATTTTCTTTATCAATGTAAAATTTTGAAATGTCTGATGAATAATTGAAAATATCAAACTCTTTTTTTTTATTTAATAAGTATTTTTTAAAAAAACAAAATTTTT